CTTGGGTCCAGTGAACAGGGGGCTTGTTTACCTTTTAAAAAAATCCTTTTACCTTTTGTTTACTTTTCTTTTACTGTCTATTAGTTTCCTATTTTGTTTACTAATTATTTTATTTTTATAAAATATAAAAATAGTACCTAAACTAGCATTACCAAATATACCACTGCCAATATTATTTTGGCATTTAATTAAAATAGTTTGTAACCTTATAACTTGAAAAGGTATTTAATTAATTGTTCAAGTTGCTGTTTTAGTTAATTTAGAGCATTTAAATATTTTATAAAAATGTGGTTTCTCCACCATTACTACTTACGATTTATTTGACACAACCTGAACATTTTAGTTTTAGTTTCTGAAAACTTTTGTTGTTTGCCTTTAATTCAATTTTGAAGTTGGATCGGTTTCGAACTAACGCGAGGTTAGCAACAGTAATCGTGTGACGTGGCACCATTAACGTGCGATTACTGTAGCCTAATTATCCGGGCGTCACACCTACAGGGTGATAAGCATGGCTAAGCATTTCTACTCTACCGAAATTATATACTTCTACTCAGGTGTCAAGTAAATAGGCGACAAGCGGATCAGGGTAATGTGTCAATTGACATGCTAGCTACGAGAATTAAAATAGCATGCACATAGCAACAATAAAACTCAATGCAATTTTGCAAACCATAGGATAAGTATGATCAAAGAAGGAGGCATGCCTTTGTTGTCGAGTTCCTTGTTTCCTTCTTCCTCGTACTGCTCCTCTCCCGTACCGTCGCCTCCTACTCGTAGTAACGGCGAAGCACAATAAATAACAAGCAATAAAATCCAATAACATCCAATGAAATAACAATATATGAAGGATTGGTAGAAAGATGTGGATGGATATGGAGATTTCGAAGGAGGTAGATCGATTGATGATGAGTAGAGGGATTGAATGGATTGGTTGGGTATAGGTTATCCGGACTAAGTAAAACTCGGCCATCATGTCTAACGTTCTAAATAGCAATACACTAACTAAACTTTAATAATACCCAATGCAAATACTTCGGCTAATTATAAAGAAAAGACAAAATAATGACTGACGTGACATAAACACAAAACAATAACTATCCTATGCATTTGAACGACACGACTCAACATAGCATGGCAATACAAATTTACCCACAAATCAACATTTAGATAAAATCTAAATATTTATAATGGTTAAAACATCAACTATAGAATTTAACAACAAGCGTCTTAAAAGTCAACCAAGCTACTTCCTAAACAAACTCGTTAAGTTACAAAACATCAAACAATAGCACGATCCTAAAGAAATGCTAAAACATAATAGACTCAAATCATGTAGCATATAATTAAAATAATCTAGATACATTTGAAGCAAATGGATCAACAATAATCTAGTCATAGTATGATCAACTCTTGTAACAAAAATCATGCACACGATATAACTCACAACACCACCTAGACTCAATCAAACTAATTTAAACAATAATTCTACAATCGTTCCGAAACTAAACTGGAACATAAATATTGCTACGCATGACAATATCATTTAGAAAGTACGCATGCATATACTATGTTTATGAACAAATAAAAATTATTGCACTTCACTAACATGCATCAAAAATAATAATTGTACAACTAGTTCTAGAAATTCTATGACCAATTCTAATATATACTAGAATCACTCAACAATATTTAGGACAAACCCTAAGCATGCTACGGACATGACAATAAGACATAAACAATTTTGCATGATTACTTATATAAAACATCATAGACACTTAATAAAAAAATAACACAATTAAACATCTATTCAAACAAAACAATTAACTCGTTCCTAGCATCATCGAAACAGCCTATGGGTTGAGCCTTGGTTTTGGGTCACCGAGTAGTCGTTGGAGATGGAACCAGTGGTGTTGAGCGAGCGAGCGCCGGTGCGCGTCGTCATCGTCGTCGTTCGAACTCCGGTGATGAAGAGATGGTGGTGAGTGATGCTCCTAGTGACGAGAAGGCACCGGGACATGGATGGACATAACGGACGATCGACGGGTGACGTCGACGTTAGTCCCGAATAGAGCAGCGGCACGGCTCCATTGTGCGCGCGGCCAATAATTGCCAACGACTGGGAAATGATGTCTAGGAGGTAGGCTTTGGCAAGGGGATTCTGTTGGTGGGAGGAATTGGACTAGGATTCTCACCTTAGGCGACGGTAGTCGAAGAACAGTAGAGATGTGGCTGTATTGCGGGGTGAATTACGAGTGATTGGAAAGGAATTGGAGGATGGGATGATGGAACTTTTATAAAGGTGCTCCTGGCGCACGTCGTGACGCGAAGGGTCTGCCGAATGGTAGCCGGAGGAGAGAGATCAGGAGGTGAATGCCATTGTTGGGCCAATAACTTCGTCAGTTACTTGCATGAGATTAAGCGCATCATGAGTGAAGCTATTAGACTGAACGGACTCGTCGTTGAGTGGGGAGTAAATCTTGTGTTGATGATGAATGAAAATGGTGAAGGGATTAATGAGATTTGAAGGGAAAAGAAGAGGTAACCATGGAGGTTTCTTCTCTGTAACATGTACGTGCACGCGTGCGGGAGGAAGGAGAAGAGCCGAGCGGTCCGCTCGCTCGCTCACTCGGCTGGGCCGCTGGCCTGCTGGTTGGGCCTTGGGCCAAGTCTCTTTGGTGGCTGAACACAAAAAAAAAACAAAGAGAAGAGATGGCCCAGTGCATACGTGAATGTGTGTGACCAATTTTGGTGCATACGTGTAATAGGCCAACAACGGCTAGGCTAGGATGCACGTATTGTTCAAGGACCAATAAAAGAAAGAGAAACTAAAGAAGAGAGAAGAAAAGAAAATCAATATAATATAATATTGATTTCTTTTATTAGGATTGTTACAAGAGGAACCGAAACAAAGACAACTAAAAAGTCTTCAAGAATCCAAGAAATCAAAGTAATAAAAAAACTTAAATGAAATATTACGAACGAATAAATCGACTCAGGATATTACGGAAAATATTTTCCACCTGACATGTGCTAAATTAATTCCAAACAACTTGGTATTAATTTGAGAAATCTCCAAAATATATAATTAAAGATTATGTTGCAACATCCCTTGGCTTAAAAAAATGAACTCTCGAAAAAAATCAGGATGTTACAGTCACAAGGAGCAGTATGTATATCGATGTTACCTATCGAACAAGATATTGTTGGTATACCTTAGTCTCCTAGCTTTGCCGGTATATTCTCATCAAAGGGATAACTTGTTATCATTGCTACATATTCTTCTAAATACATGTTTCTCTTATAGCTAATGATATCTCGAGTAAACTTGCAAATGTAGGGATTTTCAATACATTAGTAACATGCAAAGAAACTTGAAGATTCTTAATAGTTTTCAAGAAAGAAGCATAGAGTTAATTATTTGAAGGTGGTCTAGCTGCCTTAGGGTAATGAAGTGTTCATAGTGTTACCTTTGTCATTTTTCTTTCTCTTTACCTCTATCTTTAGTCTTCTCTTACATGACTTATGTGTCTTCACTTATTCTTTGGTTTGGAGGTTTGTTCCTCTTTTCTACCGTTGTTTCTTTAGCTTTATCAGGTTCTGGGGCAACCTCTTCCTCATTATTCAAATCAATTGTTTCAACGCCGGACTCAACTTATTTATCATTGTCCTTATCTTCTACGTTATTTTGTGCATCTTGATGAATAGGTTCTTCTGGATCATCATCGTTGTTAAGAAGATCTTCATCTTCTTTATTTTGGTGTTGACTGTCAGTCTTTTCTGCTCCTGTTCTTTTTTGTACAATTTAGGTCCTTTCGGGTCCTGTGTTATTTTACCACTTCGTGTGCCAACTCTATTAAGATAAACATAATTATTTTCATCATCAAGTTGGGAGAGAATTAAAGATTGATTTTTAGAAATTTGCGAGCATTGAGTTTCTATCATGCAAGAATTGTGTATCTAGAATTTCCACGACATGACTAAACCATCTAATTCTTCACAGAGGTAAGATATAAGCTCTTCATTATGATAGACACATGCCCCAGGTCTCTGGTAAAACCTTCTTGGTGATGATTAAATCTACTTATCGCCTCACTTAGCTCATCTTCCTACTCATAAAACTAAAGAGATCTATTTTTCTTGTTTAACTTACTCAACAGGTTTACCTTTTCTTGAGTTACCTTTTGGAATTCCTCCATGTCTTCAATGCGGTAAACTTTTCATGTGAACTTAGTAGGATCCTCAATACTCCACTACTCTTTAGCAGTTATGATCTTTTCTATCAAAGCTTTTTCTGCTTCCAAGGTCAAGGACATAATTTTTTGACCTACATTCATATCAAGAATGGATTTAGATTCATCGTTTATCCCATGATAAAATAAGTGTAGTATAAGATATTCAACAAATTGATCTTACTAAAGTACCTCCCCCAAGCTTCGTATAAGCTCTCCCTGAGTTTTTAATCAAATGTTAATGAGGTTAGCTCTTTTCGGAGTTTGCTATCTTGGAGAAAGGGGGACAATTAATCATGAATTTCTTTGCACAAGCTTTCCAGCAGGTGATGCTGCAATATGGTAGTTTGTTATACCATTCTTCAGCCTTGTTCTTCAAATAGAATTTGGAGAGCTTTAGTAAGATCAATTTTGTAGGCACATCTTTAATTTTAAAAGTACCACACAAAGCGTCAAACATCAGATGTTGCTTGAGGGTCCTCCTCTTCATCTCTTGTAAAAGCATGCTTTTTCAGTTCATTGATTAGTTCACAATCAATTAATACTCTCAAAGAGCTCTCAAAGCGCAGGTGAGAACTTGCCCAAAATCAAAGTTCCTTCTTTTGGCTAAAATTGATAGGATCTTGTTTCGTTTCCTTCCAAAATTATATTTTTCTGCACAACATATGAAAAACGGGTTTTTTCTGTCTTGAAGGATTAGCATTAGAAATATGCAATAAATGATGAAGACCCGGTGGAAACCACGTCAAAACCCTCTACTAAGTGGTAAAGGGCCATCAAACAACAACTTGACAAACAATTACAACTGAAATAATCATATAAAAACAATTAGGCAAATTTAGATTAGATCCAAATATAGAAACACAAATTTTATGGTGAGTTAACTTTTTCCAGATCTTAACTCATCAAGTGGTGCAGTGTATGCTAAGTGTGGCATAAGTTTTATGGAAAACTTGAGTATGGAAAAATCCCTGTCTTGTGTTTTATTCTTTGTATTTCATTATGTGGTAGCAAATGAACCAGCCACTAACACAATAAGCACAGAGATTCAGACCCTACTAGTTCCGTCATTACTCCCTCCGATTCTATTTTTTTTGCGCATAAGAACCAGCCCGCATACCAAGGAGGGCATAGCTGAGCTTGTTTTAGACTGTTTTGCCCCTGCGCCGATCACAAGAAAACTGACATGCAATAAATTCGCTCGTGAATGGATTGGCCCTTCTCTGCATGCGCCCTTGGCCTGCTTTGCATGCCGCTAGCCTGCCCACTAATTTCTCTCTGTACATGCAACGGATTGGCTCACGCATGCACTGGATTAGACCGGAAAAGCAGAATGGAGGGGTAGCATGGGAAGGAAGGGCTAAAAAAAAGGAAACGCGCAGACTATTGCGGGAAAAACTGAAAAAACTTATATGCAAACAAAATAGAAACAGAGGGAGTACATATTAAGAGTATAGTCTTCTGATATTGTTGAATATGAAACGGTGAACACTCTGTTAGAGTGCTTTTTCTAGATAAATGTGTCGATTTTAGATGGCATCTTATGTTTTACGGTGTCAGTCAACTTGAAAGTAAGGATACTTTCTTGGTAGAGCTTTCTCATGTCTGCCAAGCTAGTTAATTACATCCTTTGTGCGCATTGAGTGATCTTCATCATGGGTTCCATGTCCCATGTTTCATCTGGTGGGAAATATTGACCCTCGCCATATTGAAGGACCCATTGTGAAAAACTGCACAAGTTGTCACTACTTTTACTTGGGTCTTGTAAGGATGGAATGGCTATTGTAAACAAATTTCTAACCTTTTTTTTACGCGACAAAAGCCCTTTCAACTGGTCTCCTCACATAAGAGTGTCTTAAGTTGAAACTCATTAGCATTTTGAGGATTGTTCCCTTTAGTATACTCCTCCATGTGGATCTTGTACCACGATATGGTGGAATAAGCACGGCCTCACAGCATTACCCCACTTCAAGAAGGTAGAGTTTTCTTATAAATAGCAACTATTAGCTAGTAAACTCTAGTTTATTCTTGCGACATAGGTTTCAGATGAAATGCAATCGCTTGCTATTATCCTGTGATATAGGTTGACATAGATCTCCTGAAATGCAGAATAGATGAGAGATCAAACCGAGGGACCGACACCGCGTCGGTAAATCACTACTCACGCCCACCACAATGCATCATTGCATTACAATGCAATATTTGAAATACAAAGTTGATTGATTGACTATTGCAGACTTTTTTGCATGTCTGAAGCGCAACGATGATGAATATCCACATTCAGCGTCAAGAGGAAGGTCAGCAACATAACAATAAATAATAATAATAATAATAATAATAATAATAATAATAATAATAATAATAATAATAATAATTCAATCACATGGTGGAGATAACGTGAAGGCATTGCATTGTAACATCACGGAAAGGCCCCGAACGCCGGCTTGCACAATGCAAGGTATACCTAGTGAACACGCCAGCTTCACGGCGCAAGCATACGCAGCAATGTGCCTTTTTTTAAGAAACAGGAAGCGAGCCCTGCTTGGTAGCCACACTCCAGGAGGTCTTTTACCACCGTGCTAGACGCAAGCAACATACAGAACTGAAAACAAAATAAACTTGACAGGAACACCTCAATCCATGGGGCAAACCAGACACTAATCATTTAGTTTGCTTCGACTCCACAGCCGCATAACGATATGTACATAACATAACCATCCAGGAGGCCTGGTTTCCCTCATGTTGGCCTATCCCCTTTGTACAGGTTTTTGGGTAATTTCTTGCTTCCAAGAAATGCGCAGCTCCCAGATCAAACAGCTTTCTCAGCACGAATGGCAGACTAATGGGACGGCCCAAGGGCGGCTACCACCTCGCGAAGAACATGAGCTGTGTCGCTGTAGCACACCTGCACCAGGGAGGCGCTTCTGTCCTTCACCGCATTGCCCAACTGCCATTTGCACAAGGGCATCTTAACTCGGTTAGCATAAAAAACATACAGTATTATGCTAAATTGCCCAGATCGTTGTCACAAGTAGCCGCCAAACAACCATTTTGTAAAGTTGACCAGAGACTAGTCTACATAAATATTACACTGCAGAAAGCCAAAGAGGACTAAGTGCACTTGACTGAGTTCCTTATACTGCTGATGAACAAGCACTTTGAACTCTATTAGCGAAAGCCCGGTCACGATCCATAACAACTTCCGCCAACGCAAAAGGAAACAGGAAAAAGGTGAAAACGACTTGCTTAAGTGGGGACAGTTATCCGTTATTATTATATGTATTAAACATTTCCGTCAAAAGATCTGTACTACTAATTAAACATCCATAAGATCAGAATAGTCCACATAGGCTGCTGCAACATGAACAGAACCACTTTTATACCTCATACTAAGAAAATGTTGAGCTGTATAGCAATCAAAATTCAAATAATCTGTCTCTTAGGACGCAATTGTAAATTAAGTTCACTTGAGATGCTGAGGCATTTGTGAAATTTGAGAATCAAGGGCATCCATGAACTCCAGTAACTTGTGTATGTATGATTCATCATGTTAATTTGCAATGGAATAAGGCATGCTTTGAGCCGAAGGTTGACCAAACAAGGGGAAGAAAGCAGTCATCACCTCGTCCATGAAGTAGAAGAACTTGTTGGCTAGGCCGGTGAGCGTCTTCTTGCGCTCATCGCTCTCACAGGAGGAGATCACACGGCTGAGGTCAATATACAAGAAGGTGGCCTTCAGCCGGAGGTCCCTCCCAACCAGGTCCCATGAGTCTTCGTCTTCAATCTCCAAATCCTCCTCCAGCGAGAAGAGTTCAATGGCGCAGTTGTTGATCCGGCAAACACATCCCTTCAATTCAGTCCCAAAATCCATCGGTAATTTGTACTGCTTCCTCTGGCCCCGATTTCTGTATGAAAAAGATCAAAACCTATCAGTCCATTTATAGATAGAATAGGTAGTATTCAGAAACGAGAGGAGGACACATGAAGGAGAAGTGAAAGGAAACTGCTAATTCTTGGACACTAAAGAAGCAGCAGGTGTCGACAAGTGCATGAAAAAGACAAACCAGATTGGTCAATGGGAGGATACAAGATGGGTCAGTGGTGACGCGCTTGAAACGCAGAAAAGAGGACATGTTTAGGTAACAGGTGCCTTGCAGCCTTGAAGGATTGGAGAGCAAGAGAGGTGGCAGCAGAGAAAGCCATAAGAAATTGCAGACGGACAATTTATGAGGGTAGTCGTATTAATACAACTAAACTCCTGCCACCAGCCAACCATAAGTCTTCTCTTTTTTCTCTGAAGCAACCAATGACAACAACAACTCAATATGCAATGTTTTTTGCCTTTTCCATTTTAGCAATAAGATTATTTATCAATTCGCTGGGAAAGAATAAAAATTCAATGGCCGGTAGCAGGAAAGATCAGAATCATAGGAGTGGGCCAAGAGATTAGCTCAGAATAATCATAAATAATTTTATACAAAAAAATAATTCAATACACGCACTTTCACTAATAAGATAATCCACATTTGAACATGCAAAGAATATGCTAGTCTGTTTTAAGTAAGTGAGCTTTCTCGTGTATTCCTAAAAACAATTGTACAGAACATCCAAAAAATGAGGGCGTGTTTCACGATTGTGCTCGTCTGCTAAAGCTCGGAATATCTTTAAAATGTCCTTTTTATCCAGACAATGATATCTTTTTGAAGTTAAAAGCTTAGTATATATGGAACTTCTATGAGAAGCTATCCCGGAAGAGCCCAGCGGTAGTTTTAGCCTCTAAGGCAGTTACGCGTGTTCATCTTATGTGCATCTTCAGATGTAATTTCTATTGCTATTGCAAAAGTGTGACAGGTAAGAAAAAAGTAAGCATAGTAAGTAACGGCAAACATTTTCCTAGTTTAGTTTGTATTCACTTTGACCAAAAACCATCACTAAACAATCAACTCAAGCAGCCTTCCTTTCTCTACTATCCACTCCCCATACCTTTCAAGAATGTAAGAAGTGATGACAAAGAAAACTCTGAATTACATACGTTCACTGAGAAGCTGAGTTGTGGGTCCTACATATTTTCTTTCTTTTTTTATCATGGATTTTACATATTCTTCGGTCACTCTCCGAGTTTTGCGAATAGTAAGAGGATGGAGGCAGACAAAGATAGCAACTGATAGCAATAGCTTCTGAAAACGAAAGCCGAGGGGCCCAAATGTGGTTCGCTTCTCTCTTTTCCCCTTTGCCTCCATACATGGGCTGGCCACCTAAAAATTCACTGCTTAATATCTCTATATACATAGAAAGAGATAAATCTTTTCGAGGTTGGGAATTGGAGTTTTGACATGTTTAATATAACCCTATGATGAATTTACAAGAAGATGGCTGTGGCGGGGGCTGAGGAAAAGTAATGCCACCGAAAAGCAATGGAACAAAAGAAACAGTGCTACAAATAAAGGGGAACAGGACAGATATTTCCTCCAAGTTGCAGAGACGGAAAGAAATCCACGGTACCAAGTAGAGTAGAAATTTAGGAGCATCGTATACGACCCGTCGGCCACATTTATTTCTAATAACCTCTTCAGGAATTCCCTACTTTTCCTCATAAACGAAAAAACATTTGACTCAGTCACGCAACGCCGAGATTTGAAATTTGAAACATGAAGTTCAGGACGGAACTGAACAATGGAAAGGGGTTAAAGAAGTATACGGTAGTTAAAAAGGCAATAAACAGCCGAGGACAAGCAGTTTCCTTTTCCACTTTACGCCGATCAGAACACAGAGTGCGTAGATAGGATCCGAATCAGCTGCTCCTGAATCAATAATCCGGGGTTGAGAAAGGGAGGGGGGCAGGAAAGAACAGAGGAATCTCAGATTCCCCCTGCATTACCGATCCACACCCCCATCCCAAATCCGATCCGACGTTTAATCTACAGAGGAAATCGCTCGCCTCGGATTCTTCCCCGCCACTAAACCGCGGGCAATCCGAGGAAATCTAACCAACTAACCAAGGAGATGAGATGAGGGGGCCTCCGCTCTTCCTTGTTCTTCATGGAGATGCTCCACTGATCCCCACCCCGGCCCACCCCATCTCGAACAAACTGACCTTTTTTCTGTATATTAAACACTTGATCGATGCGATCGAAGTCAAGATTCACCCGAGGATCACAGTGCTCGTGTCCTGTTCCTCTCGAAGCAACAGTAAAATTATACGACCTATAATGATGATGATTCTCCTAAAGGGGCTGATATTGACCGCTGTAACTTGAATTTATTAACCCAATTGTTATACTCCAGTAAGAACTAAGCCAACGGAAGCAAAGCAAGAGAGGAGCATGGCTCGTGTTTGTACCTTGCGTTCCTTTCCTGCCTTTA